GTGGCCTCCTTTATTTTAACGACATTCAACCTGGACTTGTCTCAAGATCTATCCCTGGTTTAATAACCCAATTCCAATTCCTACTTATACCGTGGATTTATCGTTTGGGTTCAGCATTTTTTGTGCTAAACTACTTTGGTGACCCCATAATCATCAAAACCTAACCACCACAGCATGAGACTGCCATAGACCAAATCATTTCTACAAGACACCATACAATTCTGAAGAGATTGCAGTGACAGCCCCTGAGGCTCATGAATTGATGTCATAACTTAGTAGTTATATACAGGATAGTTCAGATTAGGGAAATGTCACCCAGCCAGAAACCTGGTTAATTCAAATTCATAGCATCGTCATTCTCTGAAGGGTCTTTCTAGGGCTCACTTCCATTCATACTATATCCTAAAATTTCTCTAGTAACTATGTTAACTATTTAGGTTAGAGTTCGCTTTTACCAATTAACTAAATTAATATGGTAAAATTCTGTAATTCACACTTCATCACTTAATCTTTATTGCACACATTATAATGTATCTCAAAATTTACTTATTTTACACTAAGCTTTGTACAACAGAGGGTACTCCAGAACAAGAGACACAGACATCAAGATCATAATAATATTGGGCAGAGCATTTACCAACAAAAGTGTCACAAAATGAAGTTTCAGGAAATGTCTCAGTATTCCAGTGGTAGTTGCTTCACATTGCTCAAAACAAAACAAAACCTTCTTTCAAATATCAAAGAACCCTACTTAATTATACACTAAATTAAAATATTGATTGATCTTTTCACAGAAAACTTAACAAAACTTAGCCATTACTTTAAAGGAAGCATTTCCAAGGATTTATTCTAGTAAAAGGAGCTCACGGTATTGCAGTAGGGATAATGCACGCTGAATTCCTTCTTTATTCTTCACCAGTTTCAAGAACTTGAGTAAGACTTGTAATCCTTCTGAGCCTCTTCTTCTTAAATATCCAAATGGGGATGTACTAGTCCGAGTTTTTGTTTACAAACAGCAGAGGCCAACTCAGACTAAATTAAACAGAAAGCAATGTATTGGAAGGCTACTGGATTGCTCAAAACCTGAAGAGTAGCCCCATTATAGGATCATAAAAGGCTCAGAAATCAGGGGAAGTGAGATAACACACAGGAACAGTCTGCTTAAGACAACATCTCTGGAGCCTGCACCACAGGCATCTTAGATTCAGGGAATCAGTTCAGACATACCCATTGAATCTTTGAATTCTTTCCCAGGCAGGGACACCTTGATGACCACACCTGCCACCTACCTTGGGAATCTCTGAAAGTAAATATAATAGTTAATATTTTTATAGCAATTGCCACATGACTGGCGCTATTCTAAACCCCACATACATAATAATCCTCACAACATTACACAAGGATGACTTACTTTTATCAGGTAAGTAATAGGGTTGTTCATTTTGATCCACTAACTAATGAGGCACATCCTATGATGAGCCTCGTTACATAGATTAGGAAACTGAGGGAGAGAGATGTTAAGTGACTTGCTGAAGCTGGTGAATGGTGGTGCTAGAATTTTAACCTGCTCATTACACTCACTTGTGTGTCTTCTAATGGCAAATAATAGACCAGTCTCACAGATTATCAGGGTGCCTGGCATAGAGTGTCTGCTCAGTAATTACATGATAATGTTATTTTCCCCTAAGGCTTCATGAAACAGAAATAACTGAATATCAAATATTTCATAACAGTTTGCTAAGGTGTTTATATTTCAAAAATGCTGACTGAATTTTTGTAGTGTGAGAGGGTACAATCTCTCTTTAGTAGAAGACACGTTGACATCTGCAGATCAAAATTCCACAGACAGTAGGGAAACACACTGGTGATAAAATCAAGAAAAGGACATTAGCACAGTGCTTCTCATCCATTTCCCATCATGACATTCAGAGAAAAGGACAATATTCATACAGCATAAGAATGAAACCAACCAGAGTATTGGCAGCTGGAGCTGCTGTGGGCCCCACCTGGCCTTTCCTGAGAAGAGAAGGAATCAGTGTCTCTGGACACCTACAACTCGTTCATGACCAATCAGTATGAGTGACATGCAGCACCCGTTTGCCTTAAAGAACGTCTCAAATATCAATAATTAATATTTTAGATTCTGCTTTAATAAAATATTCCATTTCTTCTTTTTAAAAAATCACCGAAAGATGATTCACCAAAATCCTCAAACCTTCTACTTGTCTCACACGCAGAGATTTTCAAATTCATGCAAGCAGCATTTTTAAATGATGCTATGTCATAGCTCTCAAATATAAACATGGAGGTTAAAAAAAAAAAAAAAACTGCTTCATTAGTGTTGATGTGCTGGGCTGTTGTTCTCTGTTGAGTGTGTACCTCTACTTCCTGGGAGACATCTTCACGCTTGTGGAGGGATGCCATAGTTCACAGAATGCAGTGTGGAATATGTTGCTTTACATAAAATAATCTTTTCTCTTTCTCTCCCTATCTCTACACCCCTCTATACAAAGCTATTTATATTTCTGCAAAGGTAGCCTACTTTCTTCACCCCTGGCCTTTGCATATGCATAAAGCCAGAGGGACCCCATTTCTATTCTAGGAAACATAACCTGAAACACAATGGAGGATCGTTCGCAATTCACACTTTCTTGGCCACCTAAGCAACCAAAGCTACCTGGAAAACTGTCACACAGGAGAAGCTACCCCGCTGAGACTCTGGCACAGTCTTCCCCACATCTCCCCGCTGGACATTTAAGGATCTTTGTAACAGCAGAGCCTTTCTCATGACTGAATAAATTAGGAGCCAGGAAAATGAAGCCACATAATAAAACTAATTTTCAGAGGATAAACTGCTCTTAATGAGACTATTACATGCCCAAATCAAATTATTTTATTAACAATGTAAAAGACCAAAAAAAATAAATAAATAAAATTAAATTAAAAAGCTCAAAGACTTAACAATAAATCTCTTCCATAAGTTGGGATATTTTAGGTAAAATATTTAATTGACCTCTTTCAAAAGCTTCTCTTCATGAAAAACTGTGAAAATCACTAGAGTAAATAGCTATTTTTTATTGCAAAGTTAGCCATGTCCTAAAAGTCCTAAAATCACCCCAAACATGCCAATTAAAATGCAACTGTGCTCTTAAGTAAAACGTACTGCTTCTTACAGCCTCAAATGACTATAGCACAATACCAATTAAATTAGCATAAATGTTTCTTTCCCCAAGTAAGACAGGATTATTAATAATGCATCAGGACACATTCTCTGGATGGGCCAAGTTTTCAAAGTAAAGTTCCCATTACCTGACTGTGCTTGGAGCATTTTGGATTTACATTTTAGTGTGTGAACAGCTTCCAGCCTCTGAATAGATCACAGGTGGAGCTGCACGGCAGAGTCTCTAACCTGCTGTCACAGGAGATTTCACCAGTGCAGAGCCATGTGACAATCACAGCCATCTGGGAAGCATCTGGGAGGCAGGTTCAGCCTCAATTCTCCAAGCACCGAAAGGGAAGCTTTCACTTAGTATGAGGGAAGATGTGAACAATGTTAATCGTGTGTATTGCTGCCATTATTATTTATTGTTACATCTCTTCTTGCAGCTTTAATAGGTGATTTTAGAGATCCCATCCTAATTTTTAAAATCATTATTTCAGGAGGAAAAAGTGTACTAATAATGGCAAAACAAAACAAAACCATTCTCAGTTCTGAAACACTTCTATCAAAATCCCTGAATCTTCCACTCCAAGTTCACCAGCAGAGTCCACAGTCTTGTTCAAAATCCTATCTGCTGTAGCTGCAGCCTCTGCTTCCCACTCTCTGCCATGGGGCTCCTCCCCCCTAGAGGGATCATTGTGCCTGGATGCAACCACACCCTGAGCCTGGCACAATGCTGTTCCCATCGGGACCTCCGTCCTAAGGTGGGTGCGAATGCCTCCCCACAAAATACGGAGTGTAGAATCACAGAAAAGATGGATTTATAACCCAGCCATATATTGTAAGGAACTAGTCTCTATTCCCTCCTCCTCCATTCCTGTCTGAATGCTGTATTCAAAAATAATTAAGTTGTGTTTGTTATCAAAGGAAGTTACACACTTTTTGGATCTAGAAGCAATAAGTGGGCTCACCAATTAGTTTCTTAGGATTATAGGATAAACCATATCACATTTCATAGACATATAGAAATAGAGAGTTAGAGTATGTGACTACTCATAATGACAGTAAGTCTACAAACCTTTAAAATTAATCTAATTTCTGTGTGCGTGTCTGTAGGTGTCTATATTCACAGTGTACACACACACAGACACTGCACACACAGTGTCTATATTCACAGTGTACACACACACACATTCACATTCATGTGCGTGTATACACTGTACTCTTCTCACTAAAAACTATCTCTGGTAATGCCATCCATACTCATAGCTTCAGTTATCACCAATAAAAAGGAACTCACAGATCTTCAGACCAAATAATTCCTCTGAGCTCCAGTCTTGTCTATTCAATGTTTTCTCAAAATGTCCACACTGAACACACATCATGCCATCCTGCTGCTCCCTCTTCCCATGGGGCAGGATGGGGTTACAGGGAACCTTGGGCCTCTTTCAGTGTTTTTCATTGTACCAGCATCCACTGGCTATGTAGACTATAAAACATAGATACTTAAGAGTCACCCTGTTTCCTTCTTCTTCCTCACCCTCGATATTCAATCGATCACCATGTAATATGTGTTTTGTTTTGGTTTGGTTTGGTTTGGTTTTTTGTTTGTTTGTTTGTTTTGAGACAGAGTCTCACTCTGTTGCCCAGACTGGAGTACAGTGGCACAAGCTCAGCTCACTGCAACCTCTATCTCCCAGGATCAAGCAATTCTCCTGTCTCAGCCTCCCAAGTAGCTGGGACTACAGGCGTGTGCCACCACACCCAGCTAATTGTCGTATTTTTAGTAGAGACGGGGTTTCACCATATTGGTCAGGCTGGTCTCGAACTCCCGACCTCAGGAGATCCACAGGCCTAGGCCTCCCAAAGTGCTGGGATTACAGGCGTGAGTCACCGCACCCAGCTGTAATATGTGTTTTATCAGGTACTTTTCTGGCCTAGCCCAGCGTTTCCATGTCCTTTAATGTCATTACAGTTCCAAACCATTTAGGATTCTGAAGAAGTTGCTTTTTGCCACACTAGATCAAAGCAGAAGCCAGAGTTGAGAATATAAAGTAAAAGTTACTTCACATACTAAACACCCCAGAAAGCATTTGGGGACCAGATACATCCTTGGGATTTATTAAATATCCAAACCAGCTACAACCTGCAGCTATCATCCCACCATCTTCCTCCAGCCTACATAAGAAGATGACTGTGAGGAAGGAAGGGACTCAAGGGGAATAGTGGAAGTTATGGTTACAGCAGCGGTCTGCAGCTTTGTGATGCACCATCAGCCCCACTGACAGCATCCCTACTCCCATAAGTTCAGGTGAAGTGGGCTCCACGAAAATCTCTTATAGAGATTGGAAGATGGATTTTCATTGGCTTCTCTTTTTCTGGTACATCTGTTTATATAGTTTACATATACTTAAGTAGTCACAATACACTTGTGACTATTTAAGTGAAGAAAAGAAAGAACTGAAAAAGAGATGTCAATTTAGAGAGGCAGCCCAGAAACAGCCTGATTTCCTACCTTTGCTTGGGCAAGGATGAGTAAGTGTCCCACGGGTCCAGCAGACACTGTGGAAGTTCCTTGGGTGGGAGTCATCTTGCCAGCAACTTATGTAGGATGATGACTGCTGGGCAAGGAAGAGCCAGCAGTAAGAAGGCACAAGTAGGACATGAGAGATGGGAGCAAGGGCAGTGGCGCAACAAGGCGGCAAGGAGCCCCCCATGTGCTATGGAAGAACCCACACGTGCTCCATGGAAGACGGTGGCATCTGGGGAGCTGTCCCAAAGGGGACACTTGAAGCCCATTGGAATTCACCAGAAAAACAATGATGGTCAAGAGAGGATGGCATCATCATCACCACTAAGAGAAAAAAGCATCTGACTCCTTCTCCCTTCATCTCTTCTCCAAGTTCTCAACATACGAAAGGAGAAATGGCTAGTGGAATGGGGAGAAGGTACGGAAGCACACATAGCACTTTGTCATTTTTGGAAGTTCTTTAGCAAAGCTGTATGCAGTTGAGAGAAGACAGAAGTATTCCAATGTGAACATGAGACTGAAGTTTTGAATGGGCCCAACGTGAACTGGACTAAATGATTAAACGTGTGCAAGCGGTATGGATCTGTTCAGATGTCACTAAGGGATGAGAAAATGAGATCTGACAAGGTTTACTTGAAAGAAGTAAGGGGAGAAAATAAAACGATTTCATTTCACATTTGTGCTTAAAGAAGTGTGGACCTTTTAAGGAACCAGATGTAAAACCTACTATATCTTTCAACCAGACAACTATGTGAAATTGCTCCAGGTCTACCAGCATCCACTCTGGTCTCTCTCAAATGTGATTATGAAAAAAATTACATCTAACTCTGTCACCTTCCCACCTCTAATTAAAGCCCTCTCATTTTTAAGACCCATTATTTTAAAGATGTTTTTATGTAAAGTATGAAGATCTCAATCTGGAGTCCACCTAACAACCCAGCGTCATGTTGTTCCAACCTCTCTGCCTTTGCTATTTACTCCAGCCTTCTTTCAATCCTTCTTCTTGCCACTGTCTCTCATGCCACGGGACCTTTGCACATGTTCTTCTCCCTGGATTCATCCCACATCTTTAACACTTAACTCTGAATAATTCCTTGGATCTTAGCTCAGAAATCATTTCCTCAGAGCATCCTTTCCTCTGTCTGCTACATCCTGCAATTAGAACTCTGAAAGCACGTGAATCACTCCTTCAGGTATTTATCAGAGATGCAATTTTGTATTAGTGTGTGTGTTATTTGGTTATGTCTTTCTCTGTGTGTTTCTTATCTTCTCCCACCTCCCAACATTGAGCTCTGTGATGACAAAAATGATGTCTATTAGGACTCATTTTTGTGTCTCCATGGTCCAACACAGTATCTGGCACATAGGTATAATAAGTCAATGTTTAATGAATAAGTGAACTGCAAACTTTATATATTAGGATAAATAAAAATAATTGCTACTAAAGTTACAACCCTAGAGTCCATCCGTAGCTTTTCTCTTAAACAAAATTATTGTTATTAAATATGCCAATGATCTTAGTATTTTGGTTCAGCTGGTCATAGTTCATAAAAACTTGAAAAATTGACCCTGAGATCCAAGATGTAAACAAGTTATCAAGTATTAACCCTGTAATCTGTGTGCCCCAGGCCACAGAGATGCTGCTCCTTCAACATCCTTAGATCCCAGCAAGCATTTAGGTAAACCAACTAGGGAATGAAAGGTAAAGAGTAGAAGAATACAGACCCACTAACAAGACCAAGCTCCCAATACAAAATGGAAGGGAAAGTATACCCGCAAAAGTACTGCAACAGTGGGTACATAGTAAGTCCCCAGCAAATGCAGGAGGATTCCCATAATTATTATATATGCATAACGTTTTATTTGCTAATAAATCCTGACCATGTGCAAAATTCCGCTGCAATTTTCTTTGTGTTTCATTTTTAAATAAATCACTGTTTTTAAAATTCTGACCAAGTTAATTTGTTTTTTTATACTCTTAATAGCAAACTTGTCCAAGGGTCTAACTTTCTGGAACTTTGTTTTTCACATTTTTAAGGAACAAATAGTACACTATGTTATTAGAATTCAGAGACAGTGCTAAATTAATTTATTTTATATTTCTCTCTGGACACAGCTGAACCTTACAAACATGCAACAGCCAACCTGCCCAGCACCAGGCGGCACATGGAAAACCACCCAGATTTCTCTAAAATCATTGGTTAAGAGAGACTGTCATGGCTCAGTAGTATTTTGTGTTTCTGATACTGACGCAATCTCAATGCTAGATGAACTTATTCTTAGTGAGAATTTGGCTGCTTACCTCTGGAAAGATCGTCTGAAAATAACCTAATGTGTTCAAGGTTCCTCTTACTGTGATTAAATAATTTCCAAATGGCTGCTCCAGGGTGAAAGAGTTTTTTTTTCTTTCTGGAAATAACTTCACCCTTTTTTTCAACCGCAGAATGTCATCCTCAATCTACAAAATAGATCATAAATGAAAACATTAAAGTAAAAATCAAACCTTATATGTACATCAAAGATTCAGCCTGTGTCAAGCAGTGGCAAGCTTTACAAAGAAAGGAAAGAAGAAAGCCAGCACTCTTTGGAATAGAAGTGCTCTAATCCCTTACTAAAAACTCTTTGATTTAAACATGTGGTCTAAATACCGTAAGCACAGGAGTATCGTACAATTAGAAACACACTTCAGGCAAGAATTTTAAAACAACATATTTATGCAGTTCTGTACTTTACTCAATCTAAAGCAAGGTTAATCACTAGGATTAGTTTAAATGAAAATGGCAAACTGCCTCTGTGTTTTTTTCTTGAATTTCCATGGTGAGCAATAACCAAAAAAATTAGTATTCCATGTTATTCATGATTCTCCTATTTCACAACTTTATCAGTATCATTTGTAAAAAGAAATTACGTTTCTGTGGTTGCTACTGTGTAAAGTCATTAAACAATGCAAGCAAAAAGCTTATGATAAAAGTAGCATGCTTTCATTCTATTGCCAATATTCCACCAGTGAAGGCTGAACATCTATCCAAATCATGTGGGGAGGGCTGAGATGCATGAGGGTGGAGAAATAGTTGAGACCACTGCCCACTGTTTGAGAATATAATGTTCACAACTCATTTTCAGGAAGCCATGCTCTCTGTGTTTCAATAACAGTGATGAGTTTGTCTTGAGTCATCCACACTCTTGCCCAGATGTTTCTGTGAGTCAGTGCTTAATTTTTAACAAGTACATTCCAGGAAAACAAACATATAGCACAAGATATTTATATTAATTTTTTAATGTTTATGAAAATCAGCATGATATCAAATTACTATAATTTCTAAATAATCTCCTATAATTATGTATAGATTTACTCCACAAAATGATTTAGGTCATCAGTATTTTTTAGCACTGGTGGCTAAGGACTCATGCTGACTTCTAGCAGCTTAGCAGGGACTCTAGGTAACAAGCAGCTTAACAGGACAATTTTGTATTACTCATCATTTTATTCATTCAGTAAAATGATCCAATTCATCCACTGGGGTCATTTTACTGTGATTCCCAAATCCTTCAGGGCCACACAGATTTTTGACCCTTTGTTTCACAAGATAGGAAACAGAAAAGATTTTCCAAGTTGGCTGCATGCTTAGCAAGATTATAGACTATTCTGATAAATCATTCTATTCACATTAGGCTGCATGGTCGTCTTTTCAAGGCAGTTTATTTGAGGATCAAGTCATGATCATGGGGACTTTTTCATAAGTTAGTATGTTCTAATCAATGAAGTTGAGAGATGACAGATTAATTTGGAAATGAAACCAATGATTATCATTCATATCAACTTAAGTCATAATTACTCTTATAAATGCAAACTATATAATTAAAACATTGCTTGAGAACAAAAACCAACCTTGCTTTATTAGGGTGGTGTGCAAAGGAATATAAACTGAGGCAATAGAGTCCTTTTGGGGACTGATGCTTAAGATTACAGAATATAGCCAGTGCAGTCTGTGTATGAGAATCTGAAATATTAGGCAAGGCCATGTCACATAATTGAAGAACTGTCACAACCAAAAAGCCACTTTTCTGAAAAGTCACACTGGGGAAGTGCTAGAGCCAGCCAATCCCTCTGCAGATCTCACACTTAGTGACAAGACCTGCTGAAACTCTGACAGGAGAAAATTAACAACAATAGACATAGAAAAAACAATTGGAATATTTCAGAAAGTACTATGTTGCAGGAGTACTACTACGAACTTCAGTGGCCCTATTAAAAACCCTCTTCTAGAGAAGTCACGCTAGAACGTGCAAATTTACTTGATTTTTGTTAAAACCAAGTCTTAGTGAGTTAAAATAGGGAGTCCTCCTAAACTGTAGGACCTTCCTCTTTCTTGTCCTGCTCTATTTACATTGATTGCCCAATAAATAGAGGTTGTACAAGACAGAAATCATGAGATGCTCAGCATAGTTAATACTAGCAGTGGGTTTATAATAATCTGTATATCTATTTGATTATTCAATATAAATACTTAGAACCAGGAAGCTTAACTTGAAAAGTGGTTTTATTTAGAAAAGCAGATGTGTCATAGATAGATAATTCCTATCCTTCCATTATTATATGAAATAGAATTTGTAAAGAAAATATGTTGTTACAGGAGTTCATAAAATATTTTTAAGCAGAGGACATTATCACATCTGCATTTTGAAAAATATTTTTGAAAGGCAATCTATATTGCCTTGAAGCAATTTGAAGAGTTTGAAGAGCATAAAATCAATTAGAAGTCTATTTCAATGGACTCGGGAAAGCAACAGCCTAAGACTGGACTCTTATCTGTTTGATCTGTGCCCCAGCCCACCACCACCCCTTACTCATCCACCACTGTTGGTAAAAGTTGAAGTGAAAGCCAAGTAAATATTCATTGCAGCTAAGGTAGCTGATATGGTTTGACTGTGTCCCCAACCAAATCTCATCTTGAATTGTAGCTCCCATAATTCCCACATGTCATGAGAGGGAGCTAGTGGGAGATAATTGAATCATAAGGGTGGGTCTTTCCCATGCTGTTCTCATGATAAGGAATAAGTCTCACGAGATCTGATGGTTTGAAAACGGGGAGTTCCCCTTGCGCATGCTCTCTTGCCTGCTGCTATGTAAGCTATAACTTTGCTGCTCAATCATCTTCAACCATGATTGTGAGGCCTCCCCAGCCATGTGGAACTGTGAGTCAATTAAACTTCTTTCCTTTATAAATAACCCAGACTTGGGTATGTCTTTATTAGCATCATGAGAACAGACTAATATTGTAGTCATCCAAAGTGTCTAATTAGAGTTAAAACTCAGGAACAAGGGAAGGTGATGGGCAGAGAAAAGACCAGCCCCAAATCACATTTTGGAAAGAAAGGCAGGAGTTAGAGGACTGAAGTGCCAGAACTTAGCAATGAGCAGTTATTTTTATGTATATATACTCTAAGTTCTGGGATACATGTGCAGAACGTGCAGGTTTGTTACATAGGTATACATGTGCCATGGTGGTTTGCTGCACCCATCAACCTGTCATCTAGGTTTTAAGCCCCACATGCATTAGGTATTTGTCCTAATGCTATCTCTCCCCTTGCCCTCCCATTCCCCAACAGGCATTGGTATGTGGTGTTCCCCTCCCTGTGTCCATGTGTTCTCGCAATGAACACTTTTTAATGGAGGCAGTAGGGAGATCCTGCTGTCAGCTGCTGGTAGAAAAGAAGCTCTCAGGGAGAGATGAGGCCAACTTGAAAAGCAATAGTACAGGCAAGCATTCTTGTGGGCTGAAAGACCCATTACAAATGTGGTGGAGAAGCAACCACAAATGTGAGTGCTTGATGTACTGGAGAACAAAGCACAGTGCCACAATGATTCTGCATGCAGGTGTGGAATGGGGGAAGTTGGACACCTTTCCCATGCTTCTATTTGGCTCCAAAGGTTGAATGATCCCAGACCACCAGACCATATTCACAGGAAAGTTTAAAAATGCAACTAATATCAAAATAATAGATTTCTGTATTATTGTCTAGTTAGGATTGTTTCATCACCTACTCCAATTGCGCAGACAATTTGGAATAGACTAAACCTTTCTCTCATTTCTTTTCTATTTTCATATTTTATTGACTTTCATGTACTCACAATGTATCAAATATTTAGGATTTCATTATCAAATAAATATCATAATGTTTATTTTTAAAGTTACTAAAACTAGACTTAGTTGATACAAGTTCTCACTATGATTGCTTTTTTATGTTTTAAAAGTAATTTGGAAATGGCAAGGATTTTGAACGTCTTGAGCACAGCTTCAGAGGTACATACTTTAGTTTCATGTGTAGACTAAAATTTAGATAGAATCCAGTTAAACATTTCAAAGGAGCTTGTGTCATACATAGAATAGTCAAGGAAAGCACTTATCACATAGAAAGGGGGCTAGGAGCTTTACAGAAATTAAACTTCAACGGGTATCAACACTTATTTTTTATTTCTACCGTCTCATATGTTGTTTCCTTCCCTAAAAATTACAAAAACAGATAAATATAAAATACAGATTTTTATATAAAGGTTTTAATATTATAATTTAATCTTAAAAGTAGCCAATTTATTTTTAATATTTTTATTGTGACAAAACATATATCATAGTATTTGCCATTTTAGCCATTTTAAAGTGTACCATTCAGTTGCATTGATTACATTTACAATGTTGCACAATCATCACCACCATCTCTTTCAAAACTTGGCACCCGTAACAGTACCAATTAAACAATAACTCCCCATTCCCTCCTCTCCCTATCCCTTGGTAACCTCTAATCCAATTTCTGCGTCTAGTTGTCTAATCTAGATATTTAATAAAAGGGAAGTTATACAATATTTATTAGTTTTTATCTGGCTTGTTTTACTTAGCATAATGTTTCCAAGGTTCATCCATGTCATAGCATGCATCAAAATTTGATTACTTTTTATGGCTGAATAATAGTTCATTATATGTGTGTACCACATTTTATTTACCCCTTCTCCTGTTGATGGACACTTCACTTGTTTCTACCTTTTGGTTGTTGTGAAAATTGATGCAGTGAACATTGTCATACAACTATCTGTTTGAGTCTTTTTTTCCAATTATTTTGAATATAAGCCTATGATGGGAGTTGCTGGATCGTATTCTGTGTTTAACTTTTTCAGAAACTACCAAACATTTTCGCAATGGTTGCACCATTTTATATTCCTGTTCACAATGTAAAGGAGGTTTCAGTCTCTCTACATCCTTACCAACGCTTCTTATTTTGCTTTTTTTAAATTATACCCATCCTAGTAGCTGTGAAGTGATAGTTCATTGTGATTTTGATTTGCATTTCCATAATTACTAATGCCAATTTATTTGCAAAAACTACCTTTAATACAATAATTAATATTTTGTGCTTCTAAATGTTCATTACTAACATTTTATTTTCTTAGGTTGCCTTTAAAACTTTATATCCTTAGATCAATATTTTAAAATGTGTTTTACAAGAGAGAATACACTCATTGGCATTTTTAATTTGCAATATATTCTAGAGCCAACATTCAGCAATATCGTGATGAAAATATAGTTTTATTAGGTTGGTGCAAAAGCAATCTTTTTAAAGTACAAATACGCATGAGGCATTTCAAACAAAACTGACAGCAGCAGAGAACACTTTCAAATCCAGATACTGTCACACTTTTTAATAACAGCTTCTCATCCACCTGATTTAAATAATATATAACACTGTTACAGTTCTATGAGAGACTCTTTCAAAGGTTATATAAAGGACTTTTTCCTTCTATTGTTCCCTCCTTGACTAAAAGTACATGCCTGATTATTTAAAAATGTAAATTTATTTTAAAATACCTTAAGAATGTCATCTAGTCCCTAAAACTTTGTAATACACACACAAAAAAATTGCCTGTCTTTAAACTTAATCCCCTTTCCAATTCATGCCTGTGTTCATATTATTTTATTTCTCTCGAAGTGTAAAAATTGGAATTTATTTTTTAGGCACTGTTGTGCATGACAACCCGGAATTAATTATCATACTTTAAAATAAGCAAAGTGAGTCAACGATTATGATATGTAGATAACTTCATAATTAACCTATAATTTAGATATCCAGTAATTTAAATGCATTAAACTATGTACTCTGTGTAGAGACATGCAGATTACCCGTTCCTAATATTAACATATAGCTCCCTCCAAAGAACTTTTTGTTTTCATAATTTATTCTCCATTAAAGTACATATTAATTTAATATTTCCTAATTTCCTAATTTGTACTAGTGTGGAGAAAGAAATGAGTAATGATTGAACATACTATGATTAAATTATATTCAGTAGTCCAGTGACTATGAAATACACACATCTCATTTCTTAATGGCATTCCATTAAAAGTTTTAAAGCAAGGAGTGATGGAAGCTTTTCTGTCTTCTCTTTTTAAAAATGAAACTCACTTAGGAAAAGGATTGCCAATTTATCTTTAAGGTTTTCCTCTTTATCTGTTTCCAACAGCCACACTCACCAACAAACCTCTCCCACTCAAAAGCATTGAAATAGACATGCTGCAAATGCGCAGGATGTAGGTCTATGATGTGAACACAGGAGTGGGTTGCTTCACTTCCCGCTCCTTCTGGAGGATTAAACAGATACTAATCCTGAAAAATACACAGAGAAAAGCTTCTTTCCCAAAACATATGCTCACACACAAATCATTGTAGTAGTGAGCAGGGGAGGATCCTTCATCAGCCCTAACTTTAAAAAGGGGAGGGTGGCTTTTACTTACTATCATCCTAGTTTAAAACATAAACGATTATTGGTAGGTTGAAAATACCTATTGTCCAGAAGCCCCTAATGAATGCCGCTCACTAGCAATTCTTTAAGTAATAATGTGTACCAATGGACTGAATATTCACCAAAAAGACAGAAAATAGAAAGATCTGGCCTAAAAATAAAAAGCTGGCAAGTGTTTTACACTGGTCTGAACTAGTCTTACATCTAGTAAAGAGGATAAAATACATCTTGACAGTATGTAAGCATCTTCACCACTTGGCTAGGATGTGTCATCTTAACAACAATAAAATAAATAAATATATATTATATATAAAATAAAAAACCAATGGCAAAAATATAAACTTAGAATGTTTGCCTTTGCTCCTAAAGGAAATTGCTAAATCATGTCTGATTCTGAGGGACTTAACTTACAAAGTGGGATAAGAAAACATAATACCATCTTGCAGCAATGCCCCAAAGTTTCTGTAAGGTCATAGTGAGCGAAGTACTGACCAGGTGCACTTCAGCCTGCCCAAGAGAACTGTAACACCCAATTCCCCCTAATGCTTAAAAAAGGATGTGTCACTGAGGGAGCTCCATCTTTGTTTTTCTTTCAGACATGACTGCAAATTCCAGGACAAGCCCTAAGGAGCGAAGTCAGGAGACTCTTAGGCAAGAGCTTTTCACTAATTTACTCTCTCTTAATTGTAAAGAAGAGGTCATTTAAGTGATCAAAGGGGTTCTGCTGTTAGCTAAGTACCTGAGAAATCCTAAGGAATATATGAGTTCTCTCTATCTCTCTATATTCAAAGGCATATCTGAGAGTGAGATAAGGAACTAGTTCTCTGCTAAATATCTTGACCAAAAGAAATGCTTGGATATTTTCATCAGTCATAGTACATCACCTGGAGTTCTCATTTGCTGTAAATTAGGAAAATGAAAATAATGGTGCTTCTAAACATCAAACATACACAAATACTTCCATCTTCTCTTGATAAACTGGCATAGATATCTCAAACAGGAATGTATTTTCAGTTGTTTTAGGTACAACATGTATAATAATGAGCATGCTATGCTATATCTTTTACTATACCACACTTAGTTTTGTAATTTTATATTTCATAGGTATTAGTCTGTTCTCATGCCGCCGATAAAGACATACCTGAGACTGGGCAATTATAAAGGAAAGAGGTTTAATAGACTCACAGTTCCACATGGCTGGGGAGGCCTCACAATCATGAAGGAAGGTGAAGGAGGAGCAAAAGGACGTCTTTCATGGTGCCAGGCAAGAGAGCGTGTGCCGGGGAACTTCCATTTATAAAACCATCAGATCTTGTGAGACTTATTCGCTACCACAAGAACAGTATGGGGGAAACTTCCCCCATGATTCAATTATCTCCACCTGGCCCCAACCTTGACATCTGAGGATTATTACAATTCAACGTGAGATTTGGGTGCAGACAGACCTAAACCATATTGTCATATAAATACCCCTAGACCTAATATTCAAGGATTTATTTAAATCCATCTTCTCCAGCTTTCAGGAGCGAAGAACTTCCCTTTTAATATATAAATTAAAAATGCAAAGACCATTTTTTTCCACATTAGGAATCTACAGTCTTGCTGGTACTCAAAAGAGATATCTTACATTTGTCTTTGCAGCCAGTTTTCACCTACAATGACTACTTAATCACTGCTCCACCTTTCTCAAGTCTTCATCCAATGTCTAACAATAACTTTTTCCAGACTTTTACTTCTCAAGTGAGCATAAACAACGCTATTAATTCTTCAGTGCATGGTTAAAATAAGGCTGCGGTGTTCAACAAAAAAATTTTATTACTCTTATTTTCTAGCAAAATCAGTGATCTCCAAACCCAAAGAATGGCCCAGGGAACACAAAACAAATGCCTAACGACCATCCAAAACCAAAATAAACATTGTCTTCCCCCTGGGTCTAGGTCAGAAAAGGGAATTATCCTAGACCTCTGTCTTTGTTGAAGGCTGACTAAACACTGAACAACAGCGTGGTGTCTATGAAAATCACCACGGTTCACCATATTTATGACATCTCACTGATGGGACCTAGTGAGTAGGAAGTAGCATGTACGTATCCTCAATACCTTGTTAAGAAATGTGCATTCCAGAGTACAGATGATAAAGTACCAGGAAATCCAGGGAGCTGTAACCACAACAAAATTTTAGGCATCTAATGTTTGAACTGTTCCTCTCAGATCCACAGTGAAATGCATGTTGCCTTATTTTGTACGTCCCATTGTAAGAGAAAGTCACAACACTTGGTTGCCTCTTTGAACTTTGGAGGCACTCCATACTGCATTTGGATATTCTGCTCTATTTACCAGGTAGCCCATGAGGCTGACAGCTTTGAGTGGAATCTGTACGAGTAAAGACACTAAAACTGGATTCAGTTGGGTCAGGCCCCATTGTAAGAAGCCATGTTAACTAGTCTCTATGAACTATTGTCCAGTAATTTGTTATGCCGTAACAAATAACCCCAAATCATAATTATTTAAAACCACAACAATCATGTCTTTAACTCACAAATCTGAAATTTGGGCAGGGCTTTGTGGAGAAGACTCATTCCTCTTCTACTATGTCTGGGCCTCAGATGAGATAACTCAAATGGCTAGGGGACTGGAATCTTTCCATGTGGTCTCTACCTATGATCTTTCCATGTTGCTTACATTTCCCTACAGCATGACATCTTTAGGATATTTGAATTTCCCATATGGATGCTCAGGGCTCTAAGTGGGAAAAGTAGAATCTGCCGGTCCTTTAAGAGGCTATCCTCAGAACTGGCTATGCATCACTTCTGCCATACTTTATTGGTTAAGCAAGTTAATAAGCTAGACCAGATTCAAGCAGAGAGGGATTAGGAAACTTTTCAGTGAGTGTTGTAAAGACTATGCAGCCATCTTTAATCTATGATAGTCAATGGATCCAATAGCACTCAAATTACCTGTGGCTGAACAGGTTTCTGTAACAACCCTATGGTAGGCCTTAAAATGAAAATCATAGCTGTGGACAAAGGCATGCCCTCCTGTTTTTTTTGTTTTTTTTTTTTTTTTAAGACAGGGTCTTGCTCTGTTGCCTAGCCAGGAGTGCAGTGGCACAATCTCGGCTCACTGTAGCCTCCAACTCCCAGGCTCACACCATCCTCCCACCTCAGCTTCTGGAGTAGCTGGGACTACAGGTACTGGGTCACCAGGCCCGGCTAATTTTTGTATTTTTTTGTGAAGATTGGGTCCCACCATGTTGCCTAGGCTGGTCTTGAACTCCTGGGCTCAAATGATCAGCTGGTCTTGGCCTCCCAAAGTGCTGGGATTACAGGCTCTCCTTAACAAGTAGCTGCTCTCTTTTTGAGAAACGGTTCCTGTCTATGGCCATACCACCCTGAACACACCTGAACTCATGTGATCTTGGAAGCCAAGCAGGGTGGGGCCTGGCTAGTATTTGGATGGGAGAAACAGCTCCTGGCTTGTCATTAAAATCCCGATACAGTTGAAACACATGAATACAAACACCAAGTGATCAAGTGAACTGAGCATGACATCAGGTGGGTGTTATCTGATATAGTATAGACTTACCGAAGACAGGCAGGACTAAATAAGCCTCTGTTTCCAAGTGGGAAAGATATGTACTTTATCAGGCTTTGGCAGCTCCTGAATGTGTTCACAGTAACACGGGTGGGATCTTCACATTCCCAGAATGTCTGTATTAGTCCGTTTTCATGCTGCTAATAAAGACACACCCGAGACTGAGTGATTTATAAAGAAAAAGAGGTTTAATAGACTCACAGTTCCAAATGGCTGGGAAGGCATCACAATCATGGTGGAAGGTGAAAGGCACATCTTACATGGCAGCAGGCGAGAGAGAGAATGAGAGAACCAAGCGAAAGGGGTTTCCCCTTATAAAACCATCAGCTCTCATGAGACTTATTCACTACCACAAGAACAGTATGGGGGTAATCACCCTCCCTCCTCCTGTGATTCAGTTATCTCCCACCGGGACCCTCCCACAACATCTGGGAATTATGGAAGCTACAATTCAAGATGAGATTTGGGTGGAGACACAACCAAACCATGTCAATGCCTAATCCTGCTGCATGTTAATAGTTAGCCCTCAGGACATACCTGGGCCTCATTCAGAATTCCCTCTGACTAGTTGAGGAAAAAAAATGAAAAACAAACCTCAAGTCTGGCTTACAGATGGTTCTTCATGGCATCCTGGCACCACACAAAACTGGATCGTTACGGCTCTGCTTTTACCATTTTGAGTGGTCTGGAAGGTCAATGGGAATGGAAACACCTTCAAGTGGGAAGAGCTTCAATTACCATATTCCTTATCTATTGTGTTATCTAGGGTAAATGATTCTTACTATCAAGGAGAGAGGTAGGATTGCTGACGTATGACTGGAGATAAGGAGGAGAATGTCTATCATTCAGGAAATCCTGCTAGTTCCTTCCTAGTCTGCCCACATGCAGTTGAAGGAGTGAAGGAAATAAGTCAGCATCTTATAAAGGCAGGATCCACAGTGCAAACTTCTCAGGGATAAATTTCAAATGAACAGTCAGCTCAAGAAACTTTCCAATAAAGGTGTTGGCTGAAAACAAAGGAAATATGAAATGAGTAGTTAAAACAGAAATTATTGTATATCAAACATGACCTCATGAAAAGCTGTAAAAATGAAAACTATCATGAGGACCCCTATCTTTTTCATTGGCCTGTTATGTTCTCATTTTTATATAATTCCTTTTATTTTCCACTCTCCCTTCTACCTGTGATTTTATACAGGATGTGTAGGTAATATCTCAGTGCACAGATTACAGGATACCAAAATACTGCTGAGTTATAAACTAAAAAGAGGATAAACATAAAGCAGAAATTAATGCAAGAACTGATGAGACTGTGTCATCACTTTCAAAGAGATGGTTTGTTTTTGTTTGTACAAGGAATAGAGGCATTATGTTAGGCAGTAGCACTTTGAAGTTATGATGAGTTTATTTGGAACTTCAAATATCAGAAGATGGAGAGGGATGAAATGTTGCAAAGTCCAAAGGATGTAGTGGGGCACAGATGATACATTGACTCACCCAACACCAATTCTATCCCTCTCTTGGGCTTTCCTTCCTATATTGCAGTGACTGGAAATGGAATTTGCACACTAACATACCAAAGGAGCATAAACCTTATTTTAATAAATGCAAACAGTATCATCGTGTGAAAACCAACTTGTATTCATGATTGTTCAAAAGCTCTTAGCCAACAAGAAATAGAATTTAACTTCCCTAACCCAATAGAAGAATTAACCAACTACAGTAGCAAAAAATCACACCTCACATTGAAATATAAAGGCATTCCTATTATCATATATGCTATTCCAAACTAACACAATAAATCAAGAAAAAGAAATGAGATATAAATATTTAAATAAAAAATGTGTCATCATTTTCAAGTGACACATTTGCATACCAAGAAAATAATAGTAATGAAAACAATTATAATACCATTTAACATTTATTAGGCCCTTATTATGTCAGACACTTTACTAAGCTGTTTATCTATATTAAATAACTTAATGAAAATAAATTAACATAAACTGCATTTTTATCAAAAAGATAGATTCTTTAGATAAAATATTGTAAATTTTTTAAAGTCTGGCAAGTATTTGGATGTGCGCATAACATACACAATAAAATAATGTTCCTTTAAATAATAAAATATTTTTTAAAAGAAAAAGTCTAGTTCCCAAAATAAATAAATGGATTAAAAAGCTAGGAATAACCAAATAGATGATGGATAATGCCTATATGAAGAAAATTGGAAAATATCATTGAAAGACAAAAATGGACAAATGGCAAGATAGGCCAACGTCCTAGAAGAAAGAATTTAATATGATACATATTTCACTTCTCCCCAACTTTATATATATAATTCAATGCAATCTAAATCAACACAGCAAGAACATTTTTGCTAAACATTGACAAGCTGATTCTAAAATGCATGTGAAAAAGTACATGTATAAAAATAACCAATAAATTAAATGACAAAATACTAAATAAAGAAGCAGGACTTATTTTATAATAATGGCAACTAAAACATTTTGTTATTCCACAGGGAGAAACAAATATATCAATGGAGACAACTTTGGAAACAATGGAAACAAAGAACCAAAAATAAACTTGCACATAAACAAAAACTCCGTATATGACAAGCACAGCGTCATGAATTAAGTCAGACGGAAAAATAAAACAAAATACAATCCTACATGCATTAAATAAACGAGTACATAAAACAAGCCAAGTAGTTCAAAACTCAGAAAAAAATATAGAAGAATATTTTATGACATTAAGACAGGGAGAAATTTCTTAAAGAAGATGTAGGAAACTCAAATCATAAAGAAAACACTACAAAATTAACATATTCCCCATGACGACATAATTATAAACAAGGCTAAGATATAAGCAATAAAGATGTTTGAAACATATATAACATGCAATAAGTAATTTTTTCAGAGTATATAAAAAACTCCCATACATGAAAAATTGAAAAATTAGTAGAGCATTTGAACAGCAATTCACTGAAAATGAAACTCAAATGGGCAGCAAATAAATTTTCCACCTCATTGGCCATTAGATTGGGTGCATATAAATGAGTTTTGGAAAATGGGATATGGGCAGAAGTGATGAATGCCACTTACGGTTCTGGGAAAAGAAGGAAATAAAATGGAGGAGGAGAAAGAAAAAATGTAAGAGGAAGAAGAGAGGGTAGACAAAGAGAAGGAGGAAAACAGAAAGGAAAAGAAGGAAGAGAAGTAGAAGCAACTGTCAACTCCGCTCTCTGATCCTCCCACTAGCTTTCCCTCTGCTAAAACAAAAGTGAAGAAAATGTATTCTTGATGGCAGAGCTAAATGATAAAGGATGGCCACCCCTTCCCCACCCGCTTCTTATTTGTTATGCAAGAAATTGTTTAGTGTTTGTTACCTCAGTATAGCCTAACCCTAACCTAATACAACACTCAACCTGGTTTAGCCACATTTGCCACATCCCAGCTAATGACAACTCCATCGCTTGAAATATTAAAATAAAACACTTGATGCTCTTTCCACCTCCTCTTTTTCTTTAACATCCAACATCCAATCCATCAGAGAATCTTATGGTTCTGCCTTCAGAAGACATTCAGAATCTAACTTTGACAGACATCTTCCAAGTGGTCATCATCTGTCTCTTCGATTATTGCAATGGTCTAAAAATTATTCTCCCTGCTTCAGAAGACATTCAGAATCTAACTTTGACAGACATCTTCCAAGTGGTCATCATCTGCCTCTTCGATTATTGCAATGGTCTAAAAATTATTCTCCCTGCTTCCTTACTCATTCTCCTATAGTCTAATCTCAACCCAGGAATCATAGTGATTCTCTTGTAATGTATGGCGGAATTTCTGGAACGTGATTATGTCAGCAGTGTAGTTGTTTTAAGTGTCCCAAACTTGTCTTGAAAACCAAATAGAGAAGCTAGTATAGCTGAGATGATGGGAACAACAGCCCCAAGAATGTGGGTATATCCTGGGGACAAGGTAGCTACAGCCGCAGGACATGCACGATCAACAGTTGTGGTGAGAAAGCATGAAGTGAAAGACACTAAATAGCTTAAAAGTCATAAAAATAAAAAAGTCGGTAAGAAATAAACGTGACCCCCTCCCCCGCCCCCCAAAAACACACACAAAAAAAGAATTTGCCCTGAGAGGAAATCTGGGAAGAAAAAGATATCTAAAAACAATTCATGATATTGGAAAAAGTCCTCACAGCCTCAGAGTTGCAGATCAGTGCCAAAATGACACAGATGTTGGGGAAACTAACATGGGTATGGTGGTTCTGGCCTTCAATAAAATCTCACACACTTCCCTCCAGTAGGACAAGGCCTCATTCCACTGGAAATAGCAAAACTGAAAAAGGAAAGAATCATGAGAATGAAAGGAGAGAGACAGAACGAGAGAATGTTTGAGAAGCTCAGAGAAAGGAAGTATCAGGAAGTACTTTAAGAGCAAATGCTTTTGAGCTGCTCTTGCCAACAACAAAAAAAAAGTTGCTATGTGAGATGATGGATATGTTAATTTGCTTCACTATAGTAACCATTTTACTATCTACATAACATCATGCTGTAATCTTCAAATATACACAATCCAATTTTTTTAAAAAAGAATTCAGAACATATAGGAAAATATTTATCATTGTTAATGGATAAATAAAAATAGAGCAAAAATAATAAATGCAAGACCTGATGCTGAGAGCACAGCCATGATACAAACATGACCTCAACAAGATCCTTTTCTTTTTTTTCTTTTTTTTTTTTTTGAACATGAGCTCACTCTGTCGCCTGGCCAGGTGCAGCAACGGCCGATCTGCGGCTCACTGCAACCATCCCCCTCCCGGATCAAGCAATTTCTCCTGCAGCCTTCTGATATGCTGGGATTACAAGTCTCGCGCACAACGCCCCATGTTAATTTTTTGTATTTTTAGTAGAGGACAGGTTTCACCATGTTGGGCCGGCTGGTCTCGAGAACCCCTTGACCTCATGATTGCCACCTCAGCTTCCCCAAAATTGCTCGGGATTACAGGCATGAGCCACCCTCGCCCCGCCAGAGAAACCTTTCGTTAACCAGATTACGGCTTAGAGAACAAAGCGGACTCGTAGAAGAGGCCATATTTTTAACTTCCCTGAAAACAGAGAAAAAAAATTCTTAACTGTGTACAAAGAAACTACCTTGCTTGTCTCTTCTTCTTATAACCCCAGAAAGTTGCCATCCTTATTTGGTTCCTCGTTTCAAAACATTGTGGGGAAAAAAAAAAATAAAATTCCAGCACCATACCAAATTATTACAATAAAAAGTTAAATGAGGCCTTAATAAAATTAAGAAAGAATTCATCAGTAAAATGAGGTCATGAAACAGATGAAAACTGTAATATAACATTTAAGTATTAGAGAAGAATGAGAGCTTTAACAAAAACAGCACAAACAAGCAATAGAAAAAGCTCAGAACAAGTGAATAATCAGTAAAAAAAATTAAGAAAAAAAAATAATAATTTCACAAAAGAGGACTAAATTAGAAAAACACAAAAGCAAAATGACACCATAAAAGGAACAGTAAAGGAAATAAGAACAAAGAAGGAAGAAAATTGAGGGGAAATGAAACGCATTTTTTTAATGATTCAAACAAAGGTTTTGAGAATTATTTGCCTGATAGGCAGAATAATGACCCCACAAAGATGTCTACATCCTAAATCCTGAGGCCTATGAGAGTTGCTTGGAAGGCAAAAGGACTTTATGTGGTTAAACTGAGGATGTCCCGATGAAGTGATTATTCTTGATTATCCAGGTGGGTGCAATATCATTACCAGGGTACTTAGAGGCAGCAGGTTTAGAGTCAGAGGAGAGGTGACAATGGAAGGAAAGGTTCTAGGAATACAGGCCCTTGAGTCAGGTCATAGAGACAGCTTCTAGAGGCTGGAAAAGGCATGAAACTGATTTCTCCCTGGAGCCTGCAGAAGGAACACAGCGCTGCCAACCCATTTTAGATTTCTGACTTCCAGAACTGTAAGAAAATAAATTTGCGTTGTTTTAAGCCACTAAGCTTGTGATAATTTATTACGAACATCAGCAATAGGAAATGAATACAATGTGAGAGACATACGACATAGGAAACCTAAGGGCCAACATACATAAAATTGATGTCTTCAAAGAAGAAAATAAAAATAATGAAAAAGAAATATTTAAAATTATAATTGAAAAATATTTCCTGAAATAAAATATTAAAAAGCATAGAACACTGTGTGTCAGATTTTGGGGTCTGGGTCCAGCCTATGCTGAAGTCCGAGGGGAGTGGGTGGATGAGCAGCAAGAACACTCAGGGGGCCGTAGGCAGGTAAAAGATGATTTTATTCAGCAGCAGCTCTCATCAGCAGCTTTCTCACACTAGCTCTCTACACTGCCTTTATCTTGGCTGTTTGCTCGGGCTCTGTGGCTCCTGCCACCCCCACACCTGCAGCTGCATGGCCAGCTCTCCCTTGCCTTCAGAGTAAGCAGCTTCACTCTTTCTCTCTCTGGGCACCAGCACAAGCCATGCTGTGGCTCACCTCTGTCCATCTGCAAGGAGGACAACTCTGGTTCTCTTTCTCTCTTTCTCTGGGTGACAGTGAGCCTGCCATGTTAAGCCATGTTGAGCCAAGCCGAGCCTCAAGAGCCCCTGTACGGTGTTAGCAAGGCAATTATACCTTTTACAGACAATGGTGGCTCAGAGCCAAGTATGAACTTACACAAACAGGTTATATAACAAATGGAGGTGTGCACCTGTGCCCCAAACTCACTGAGTCAGGCAGGCCTGGATATCCGCCTCGGCCTATTCCTTGACCAAAGCACATTCATGTACCTTACACTCCACGCTCTAGGCCGAGGGAGACATAGACCTTGGACACACAGGTTTAATACACTGGTTTGGCACAAAGGCCTGACATATAAACTCTGGGCCTGATACATACACATAGGCTTGACACATAAGCCTCACACATAAGCTCTGGGCATGCAAGCCTGATATACAGGTTTGGGCACACAGGCCCAATATATATACATAGGCTTTGATAAACTGTCCAGCTATTGATGCAGATTACCATAGGTGTCACCTCCTTGGTGATTACCATTCACACTGCCCTGAGTTTAGCTTATTAGCTACTTTGCCGACACCTAGTTTTAAACCATATGGTGTCAGTACTAGGCTGTTGTCAATAGTGCAGCAGCAGCAGTAAGTACTCTGGCTAGTTCTATCTGTATACCATGCCCCACCAGGAGTGAGGGTATGCCCTTCCTTACGGTAAAGGCTCAGGGTCTAGGGGTGCCTCAGGCCCCATGGCCTTATCTTGCATTAAGGATATAGACCCTAAAATCTCTTGTAACTCTGCTGCTAAGGGACTTGTACTCAGTGTACATTACCGCTCTAAGTAGGCGCCCCACTTCGCTAAAGTGGATGTCTGTACCGTCCCAGTTTGAGGGGTTGTAACCCACGAACACACCACCTTGCTGTCAGGTAAGTCATCTGCACAACGACTGTAGCCCATCCCGCCACACTCTTATGAGACTGACAGGCACCATATACAGTTACTAACCGTGTTCCCAGTCCCAGGGGATGGTTATCCATGAACACACCCATCCTGCTATTAAACTGTTTCTTTCTTAAGGAATACCAGAGCTCAGCTCCCCTCCATAGTGGCGACTAACAACCCACTGGAGCGTCCAAGCGTTCCATGCATTGCTGTGGGCCCTAGCCCAAACTATCTGTGGTTACATGTACTTCTAGTGTAAACGGGCACCCTTGGTTAGAAAGGCTGTCTCAGCCTTATCATCCCAATCTCGGGCAAGAGGGGTGTTGCCACTTCTAAACCTGCAAGAGAATTAGAAGTTAACATAACGTCATTAACAAAATCATGACACATGATGGGGCTACACATTGCTGCAGCAACACTGTAAAAGTTCATAGACGCCCTGAAATGAAGGCAAACTGTTCCAGGCACTCGGTGGATTGTCTCAGTTCAGTTGTCAAATGGTCCATTAAGTCCCTGACAGACAGCACAGCTGCCAAGCCATGCAAAACATCCGCCCCCAGAGTGTCCTCAGCTATGGGAGAGACATACACAGTGCGTAAGCGGAGAGCCAAGCGGCCAACGGCAAGATGCAGAGATGTAGGTTTCACTTTCACTGACCAGCCTGTATAGCCATTAATAAACGCAGCTCCGCCTGAAAACTTATCCAGATTCAGGGACCAGTAGATTGCCAAGTCCGCATGTGGCTCTGGTTGTCTGGTTCCCCACACAAGCCAGGCATCTCGGCCAGTTCTCTTATCAATCAGTAAAGGCTTTACACTTCCGCCAACTGCAGCAGGTACTTTTTGAACTGGAACTCTTGGGCAGGACCGGGTTGCTCAGCAATGTCCTCCCCAATGACTTGCATTAAGTCTGTACATGACTACAGATGTTACTTACTTCACTCCTACAACTCAGTGGGGGCACAGGGATCATAGGAAGTGTGCTCCACCACAGTAGACGGGCTCTGGGCCCACCCTTGGGGCCCAACAGCTGCTCATGCTCTACTTTCTGACGGCGAGCCTGCAACGGAGGTTCTTCCTCCTGTGCTGGGTCCCGCGGGGACTGGGCATGCACTTCCCACAGCACAGTCACAAACGCCCATCTGACTCTGCGGCAAAGGCATACTTCTCGGTGCTGGGCACTTCCAGGTGCTTCAGCTCCTTCTCCACACTCAGGAGAGACCGCTCCACCACCTCCCACGTTTCCACTGGGGCCCATCCAAGCAGCTCCACTGCCACCGGCTACCACCGGCTACTGCAGCCACATAGCCGACCCGGGAGCTCTCAGGGGCTGAAGACCCACTCACCTCATCCCATCCTCATGGCCAATTGTCAGATCCTAGGGTCGAGGTCCAGCCCATGCTGAAGTCCGAGGGGAGCGGGTGGATGAGCAGAAAGAACACTCTGGGGGCCGTAGGCAGGTAAAAGATGATTTTATTCAGCAGCAACTCTCATCAGCAGCTTTCTCACACTAGCTCTCAACACTATTCGCCTTTATCTCGGCTGTTTGCTCGGGCTCTGTGGCACCTGCTGCCCCCACGCCTGCAGCTGCATGATCAGCTCTCCCTTGCCTTCAGGGTCAGCAGCTTCACTCTTTCTCTCTCTTGGCACCAGCGCAAGCCATGCTGTGGCTCACCTCTGTCCCTAAGACAGACAGCTTTGGTTCTCTCTCTCCCTTTCTCTGGATGCCAGCACACCCATCATGTTAAGCCATGTTGAGCTGAGCCGAGCCCGAAGAGCCCCTGTACAGCATTAGCAGGGCAATTATACCTTTTACAGACAACAGTGGCTCAAAGCCAAGTATGAACTTACACAAACAGGTTATATAACAAGTGGAGGTGTGCGCCTGTGCGCCAAACTCGCTGAGTCATGTAGGCCTGGATATCCGCCTCGGCCTATTCCTTGACCAAAGCACATCCATGTACCTTACACTGTGTATCTGAGAAAATTGACCAAAATTATGAACATCATGTCATATTCTAAGCAATGATTATTATATTCTTAAAATGAGTTGAAAAATCCCTGTGGTATCCAGACAAGAAGTTAAAATCACTTACGAGGAAACAACTATCAGATTGATGTAAGAATTCTCAATAGCGACATTTGTTAGAAAAAGAATGTAGCCTTTTAAAAAATAATTTAATGGGAAGAAAATATGAGATGAGAATTTTATGTCCAGCCAAAGTCTTCTTCAAAATAAAAGCCACAGACAAACAGCTATAAATATGCAAGACGTCAAGGGATGTCATTCTCATAATTACTTCCTGACAAATCTACCAAAAAACCAAAATCTACCAAACACACGTCTGTTAAAGGTTTAGGAAATATTTAACTTAGTGGAACTAAGGTTATAAGATGGAAAACTGGTGAAAAAATAATCTGTACTTTTTGTATGTTCAAATATTAACACTAACAAAAATACAAGGTAGGAATAATGGATAGTGAAATAAACTTTTCTCATGTGCATTAACGGGAGGTAAATATTACTTGAAGCTAACAAATGAAGTAGTACATGCTTAAGCATATTTAAGACTTAAAATACATCTAACAGTTAACAATATATAGTAAATTAATAAATGAGGTAGAAGCATGAGTAATTTGTGATGTAATGATGAACACTAAAATAACGCTAGTGATTAAACTTGGAAGGTAGGGGCAACAGTGAGGGACTAACTTTAGTCTTATTTGTAATAAGAAAGTCAACACAGAGTACGTTAAAAAGAGGTGATTAAGTAACGTTTTTAACGGTATAAATTAAACTACAAGATCTAAAAGTCAAAACTTCCTAAACACCAAAAGAAATACTGATAGCAAGATGAAACAAAGGCAAACACATAATTGAAAGAATTTAAGTAGAAATAATGAGCCATATAGAAAATATATCGTAAAACAGAATAACAAACTGAGACCAAAAATATAAATCACTAAGTAAATGTAAACTAGATTAAAAATTGGCTGGGCTTGGTAGCTCACACCTGCAATCTCAGCAGTTTGGGAAGGCTGAGGCAAGTGGATTGCTTGAGCTCAAGGGTTTGAGACCAGCCAGAGCAACATGGGGAAACTCCATCCTACAAAAATATATATATATAATATATAATATAATATATAAAATATATATTATCTATAAATAAAACATATATTATATATAATAATTTTATATAATATAATAAAATATATATTATACATATAAATATATATTATATGTATAACATACAATAAAATATATATTATACATATAAAAATATTAGCTGAGTGTGGTGGCGTGCACCTGTGATCCTAGCTACTTGGGAGGCTGAGGTGGGAAGATCACTTGAGCCTAGGAGATGGAGGCTGCAGTGAGCCTTGATCTTGCCATTGCCCTTCAGGCTGGGCAACGGAGTGAGACCATGTCTCAAAAAACAAACAAACAAAAACCTAGCTTAAATTACCTACTAAAAAATTCAGATTACGAATACAGCCAAACACAATTCTTTCTTCATACTAAAACAAAAGTACTACAAGCTATATTTCAAAAAAGCATGTTACATAATAATGTCTACCAAAAAACACAACAGTTCAAATCTCCTAATTCACTCCACAAGCAACCTCTCATCCAGTTTTTATTATCATATATTTGATTTGCTTATTCTTAAATCCATATAAATAGAATCATTTGGGTCTGATTTCTTTCTCTCAATATAATGTTTTTAGATTTATCAACATTGTTGTGTGTTTCAAAATCATGTACATATTTTATTATGAATAATTATTTACTTTAAATATTATTTTTTAAAATATGAACTAAAATGGAAGTCAAGGCGAGTTTTTTTCACCAACATAAATGTCTGGCGCCATATGTTTAAAAGATATTCCTTTCCTCCATTGATTCCTATTGGTCACTCTGTTGAAATTTATTTAACTGGTAAGGTGTGGATCTACTTCTGGGTTGTCTAGTCTGTGTCACTGACTATTATTCTTAAGCAAATATAATAATGTCTCGATTATTATATCTTTTACAGGAATTTTTAAATCAGGAAGTTTTAAATCAGATTTTATATATAAGTCTTCAAACTTTTTCCTCTTTTCCAAGATGAATGTGTCTACTACAGGTATTTATGTTTACTGAAGTTTATAAAAATTGCAATAGAAATAAAATACAGATTCTTTTCCAAAATTGACTTTGTATCCTTAGGCCTTACCAAAGAAACTTACTGATTCTAGTAGTTTGGGGTTTTTTTCTTAAAATGTACTATGTTCATAATCACATCATCTGCAAATAACACATTGTTTCTTTCCAATTCTTATGCCTTGTAATTTTTCATCATTTATTGCACTAAGTAGGGTCTCTAGTACAATAGTGAATAGAACTGGTAAGAGTACATTTCCTTGCCTCCTTCCTGATCTTAGAGGGAAAGCATTTACTACTTCACCATTAAATATGCTATTTACTGTAAGTTTGATGTAAAGTTTCCTAATCAAATTGAGGAAGTTCTTTATTTGTTCTTATTTGCTAGGAGTTTTTAACATGAACAGGAGCTGAATTTCATCAAACACATTTCCCCAATTTATTTAGACAATCATTTGTTTTATTATTCTTCATTCTGATAATATGGAGAATGACATTGATTGATTTCCTTATGTTAACTCAACCTTGAATTCCTGAGGCAAACCCAACTTTTATGATTTTTATGATCCCTTTAATTTATTGACAAATTATATATATTAATAACTTGGTTAAGAATTTTTTGTCTACATTTAAATGAGTACTATTGACCTATAATTGTCTTTTCTTAAAATGTAATTGTCCTCTTTGGGTCGAAAGCAGTGTTATTCTAGACCAGGCACGATGGGTCATGCCTGGTAATCACAACACTTTGGGAAGCCGAGGCGGGTGGATCACTTGAGGTCAGGAGTTCGAGACCAGCCTGGTCAACATGGTGAAACTGTCTCTACTAAAAATACAAAAATTAGCCAGGTGTGGTGGCATGCACCTGTAATCTCAGCTACTTGGGAGACTGAGGCAGGAGAATTGCTTGAACCTGGGAGAGGGAGGTTGCAGTGAGCCTAGATCATGCCATTGTACTCCAGCCTGGGCAACAGAGCAAGGCTCCATCTCAAAAAAAAAAAAAAAAAAAAAAAGAAGCAGGGTATTCTAGACTCATGAGCTGGGAGGTGTTCTGCCTTTTATTTTCTGATACCACTCATACAAGTTTGGAATTATGTCTTTCTTAAGTGTCTACAAAATTCATCGTAACGCTATCTGAGCAGAGTTTTCTTGGTGAAAAATTCTTAATTACAAATAAAATTTTTTATAAAATATCAGGAGATTCAGGTGTTTATTACTTTTCCTAACATATTAGTTAAGTTTGTATCTTTCATTTTGTCAATTTTATAAGCTGTCAAATTTATTGAAAAAAAGACATTTATTATACTCCTTAATTATTCTTTTAATTGCTGTAGATCTGAGATGCTATCCCTAATTTTCCTCTTAATTTCAGCAATTGTGTTTCCTCTCATTTTTTAATTAAGTCTTGATAGAGGTTTATCAATATTATTCATGAGTTTTAAAAACTTGTTTATGGTTTTGTTGGTCTTCTCTATTGTTTTTTTCTCTTTCCTAGGTTCCCTTTCTAAACTTTATTATTTCTTTCCTTCTTACTTCTGGTTTGTTTTGCTCTTCTTTTTCTAGCGTTTTGAGGTATAAGCTTATTTCATTTATTTTGTATTATTTTTAATTTCTAATCATTTTCTTGGCCTGATAATTTTTCCTGCTTTTGTTGGAAAAAGGGAAGAGAAGTTAGGACTGAAAAGCAGAAATAACTTGCAACTTTGGACATTTTCACAATGTTTAAAATGTCGGGCACTGCAGCGAAGGTGAAAGTGCAGCCCAACTGACTCTGGACTCTTACAAAATCACTAAAAAATATAATATCTAAAATAAAAACATACATTAAGTTTAACACACTAAAGAACACTGTAGGAAAAAATAGCAGTAAACTTAAAGACAGGTTGAATGACATAAATTATTCCAAATAGAGTTAAAAATTTTTTTTGCTTGGGTGTTGTAATATTAGAAAAGTAGACTTTAATACAAAAAATGTCACTAGAGATAAAGGAAATTGCATAATGCTATAATCAATATAATCAATAAATCCAATTGTGTGGATAAATGTGTAATTCAGTATCTTGGATAATAAAAGTTAGATAGATGATTTTTTTTTTTTTTTTTTTTTGAGAGAGGGAGTCTCGATCTGTTGCCAGGCCGGAGTGCAGTGGCACGTTCTGTGCTCACTGTAACCTCCGCCTCCCGGGTTAATGCAATTCTCTTGCCTTAGCCTCCCGAGTAGCTGGGACTACAGGCTCTTGCCACTACCCGCAGCTAATTTTTGTATTTTTAGTAGAGATGGGGTTTCACCATGTTGGCCAGGATGGTCTCGATGTCTTAACCTCATGATCCGCCTGCGTTGGCCTCCCAAAGTACTGGGATTGACAGATGGTATTTTTAGGTGTTGGTAATGGAACTGAAAAAATATATCCAAAAAAATCATATAGAAAACATTATTTTACCAAAAAGCAGTGAGACTTATAATTAATAACAAATTAAAAAACAAAGAAGTCTCTTCCAGCTAGAAATTCTTTTTTCCAAGGGAAAGATATATTAAAATTGTAATTGCTAGAAAAATACTACGTACTTTAATCCTTGAGAAAGCATTTGAACAATCCTCAGTATAAAATTTATAAACTCAAATATTTATAACATGCAACATGAAAAATTATATTGTTCACGTCCTCGCTATTATTTTTTACTTTTTGATTGATGTATCCTGGGCTAAGAGAGATTTATTAAAATTTTCCATTGTTAATGTATTTCTATTTCTCCTGCATTTTTTTGGTAATTTCTGCTATATTAAAATTTACACTGTGTTATTTAAACTTATTATTTTGAATTTTGTTCCTTATAAAGTAACCTTCTTTATAGGTTTTTATAAATGCATTTTTTGTTTTAATAAATGCATTTTAGTTTGAAGTAATGCCAAGTTTGAGGGCTCTCCTTTCTTTTTAATGAATTTCCTGTTATACATTTCTCAACTTCTTCTTTTTAACTTTTCTGTATCATTTGTTTCAAGCATGTCTCTGGTATATTATATGGACTGGTTTTACTGTAATCTAACAGAAAAATCTCTTTTTGTGATAACAGTAATAAGCCTATTTATTTTATAAGAGTGATAGCCCTACATATTAGTATATGAGCCCTGTTTAAGTCTCAATTCTGTCATATAATTTATATTGTTTACTAATTAAATTTGTGAGCTTTAATAAAATTAGAAATAATACAAATTTGTTTCTAGTTTTTTCCCTTCCTCTTGTCCTTCAACACCTAAATCCCTTCAATATTACTAGCATTCTTAGTGTTTACCTTCGTACTAAAATATTGTTAAGTATTTACTAGTTAACAATGTCTCGATTTCTCACTTTAAATAATATCTTTTGACTTTCTGCTATTGTTTAGGAAGACATTTGTGAGCTTATTCCATTTTTCTACCCTCTCTCATTTTCCCCTAAATTTCTGTTAGCTCAATTATTTCTACATCATCAAAGCACATAGTATATACAGACTTAAGATGGTTCAAATTAACAACTTTTTTATTTTATGGTGGTGTGAAATCATCACAATTTTGACATGTCAAAATTTGAATTCTGATATTTTCCAAGACCTGCAGTATGTGGCATGATACTCTCTTGCAATAGTGAGCAGCAGCAGCAAGCCGTGGTTCCCAGTCAGCCACTTCATCACCAGGGTAAACAACTGATACTCTACAATGCACTGTGTTGCCAGCATATTTTTGATATTGTGTTTTGAGTTTTTGCAACCCATTGTGTCTACAAGATGCCCATCTGTCTTACTGTGTTTAGTGTTGCTATAAAGGAACACCTGAGGCTGGGTAACTTATAAAGAAGAGAGATTTGTTTGGCTCACAGTTC